CCCCCCCCCCCCCCCCGTAACTTTTGAACGGTTAGAGATAGAAAAACGAAACTTTGGGGCTGTTTCTATCTCAAAGGGAACCATCTTGTAGGGGGGTTCAAATTTTTGCCCCTCCCTCAAGGGTTGCGGGGGGGCCCCCAACTTTTTTTTTCTGATGGTAACCCCTATCTCGTGATACATTATTAGAAAGAACATAAAAAACCAAGAATTTTGGCGCAAACCGCAGCTCAATATCTAATTTTTGACGGAGTTATGATAGGTCAAAGGTCAAATTTGACCTATTTTCAAAAAATCATGACTCCGGTTCAAATTATCGTAGAGAAGAAAATAAAAAGGGAAGATGTAGCAAATTGTAAGCACTTTGAAGTAAAAATTACAGAAATTACCTCTAACTAATTTTAGGGGGGGGGGGTTCGGACCCCTAAATACATCATATCGAAGGTCATACAATTTTCCCACGAAATGAACGAATATTCCCCAACATTGCCTCAACATCACCACGGCAAGTTCAAAATTAGTTCAGCGTTGCGTTTTCAAGTCCTCCTATCTCGGGAAAAGTTAAAAAAAAAAAAACCAAATTTAAACCATCAAATTTAATCACCTTAGTTTTCGTTTTTTTAAAACTTTTCCCGAGATTGGACGACTTGAAAACGCAACGTTGAACTCTTTTTGAACTTGCCGTGGTGATGTTGAGACAATGTAGGGGAAAATTCGCTCATTTCGCGGGAAAATTGTATGACCTTTACACTGACATATTTGAGGGTCCGAACTCCCCCTTAAAATTAGTTAGAGGTAATTTCTGTAATTTTTACTTAAAAGTGCTTACAATTTGCTACATTTCACGTTTTATTTTCTTCGGGTTCAACTGTATGTAACAAGGGGGGGGGGCAGCCCTTGGGCAGGGCCTCTTGGTTGCCAGGGGGTCAAAAATTGGTCTGAAAAGCTCGTTTTTGACCAGATTTTGACTGTTTCTCGACTCAGGAAGTCTGGCCGAGGGTCGGGACCGTGCGGAATCGACTCTACGCCTCCAAATACGTAGGATGCGATTGAAATTTCGATTTTTTTTTCTCAGTCCAAAATCGAGGAAAATCGACAGGCGTTACATGGAGTAAATTATTAGGGTCAAAATCGAAAGTTCACCGATCGAGCCGAAAGAAAGTTAGGCCGCTTGGAATTGACTAGCTGAGTTCGATTTTCGAATCGGCAAAGTTCCGCGAGTCCCTCACTTCGAGCTATCCGCTGAAACGCTCTAGAGAAAGAGTCAAAAATTGGTCCGAAAAGATCGTGTTGACCAGTTTTTGACTGTTTCTCGGCTCAGGAAGTCTCGCCGAGAGTTGAGACCGTGCGGAATAAATTCTACGCCTCCAAATAACTAGGGTGCGACTGAAATCTCAAATTTTTTTTCTCAGTCCAAAATCGAGGAAAATCGACAGGCGTTACATGGACTAAATTTTTAGCGTCAAAATCGAAAGTTCGCCAATCGAGCCGAGAGCAAGCTTGGCCGATTGGAAATGACCCGCTGAGTGGGGTTTTCCAGTCGGGAAAGCTCCGCAAGTCCCTCGCTTTGAGCTATCCGCTGAAACGCTTCAGAGAAAGAGTCAAAAATTGGGCTGAAAAACTCGTTTTTGACCAGTTTATGACCTTATCCCGGCTCAGGGTGTTTTGCCAAGAGTCGGGACTGTGCGGAATCGATTCTACGCCTCCAAATACGTAGGATGCGACTGAAATCTCGAATTTTTTTTCTCAGTCTAAAATCGAGGAAAATCAACAGGGGTTACACGCACTAAATTTTTAGGGTCAGAATTGAAAGTTCGTCCATTAGGCCGAAACAAAGCAAGCTCGCTTGGAATTGACCCGCTGGGCGCTGAGCGTCATATTCTAGTCGGAAAAGCCCGCGAGTCCCTCGCTTCGAGTTATCCGCTGAGAACGCTCCAGAGAAAGAGTCAAAAATTTATATATAATTATAATTATTTATATAAATTTATTATATAAATTATTAGGGTCAAAATCGAAAGTTCACCGATCCGGTTGAAACCAAGAAAGCTCGCTTGGAATTGACCCGCTGAGTGGGATTTTGTAATCGGTTCCAGAGGGGGGACGGAATAAGCTATTTTTGCATCAAACTCTTTTAGTCCATGAAACCCCAGTCGATTTTTCCCGATTCATTCCGATGAAAGAGAATAATCCGAGATTAGTATCAAATCCCATGTAGGTACTTGGAGGCGCAGAATCGATTCCGCGTGGCCCCGAGGCTTGCCGGAGCTTCCTGAACCGAGAAACAGTAAAAAACGAGTGTTACTTTCTTGACGCTTCGGGCATGGTCGAATATCCGCGGTTATCCGCGATTGTCAAGTCTGATCGACTCGTGAAGCATTTTGGACCAGAAATTCGGACTCCTCGACTCATTGTATGGGGGACGAGCTTCATTTCAGCCCGATCTGAGAACTTTCGATTTTGACCCGAAAAGTAAAACCTGCATGGTTACCCGACAAACACAAAATTTCAACAACGAAGCTGCTGAGAGTAAGGTAAGTCTCTAAAGTATAAGAAATCTAAGTAGTCCTTGAACAATGAACTTGTTTACAGGTTTGTAGAATCTTTTGGGATTTTGCAGTGCTTCCGCAGGGCCGGATTTATACCCACTTGCCGCCCGTGGGCCGCCCCCTTTTCATTCGTTTTGAAATATCAATACAAACCATCAAGTGAACAAGCCGGAGTAGGAGGGGTGCATAAGACGAGTTTGTTCGTGTTGGGCACATTTTTTTGCGAAAGCCCTGTCAACACTAGCCAAAGTTCACGGAACATAGCGCGAAAGTTAAGTTCTGTAAACCTACCTCTGTGTGGTCCAGGCACTCCAGGCCTTCCATTTATAAGAAATGAACGAAAAAATTATGAAAGAATAAATACGAATGTGGTTTAATAATTTTAATTTCCGCCACCGCGCTAACCGCACTGTTTTTGACGAAATGCATTAAGTATTCATACAGTCTTGTAGGCACTATGAGTCTCACGCCAACCGCTGCTGACCGCACTGCGTTTGACGCAATGCGTGAGGTATTCGGGGAGTCTTGTAGGCGCTAAATGTGTTTCATGCTGACTGGCGCGGCGCGCGAAGGGCTTCTCCTTTTCAACTCAAATCCTCGTCATCCTTGCTCTTATTTGCGCCACGCCGCTCCAGGCCGAACTGCGTGTTTGGTTTCTCTCTCAACCTATACCAATGAAAGGCGCTGTCTCTTGTATCGCTGAAAGACGAAGGAATTCAACGCAAAAAATTCATCACTATATGTATACTTTAACTCTCAGGAAATGAGAGATTTTGTCGCCTTTTCTCGTTTTTAATTTTTTTTTTCTGAATCCGTTTTTTTTTTATACCTAAATTTGAAATTTGCAAAATTTGCCGCCCCCTAAAATTGCCGCCATTGGCCGCGGCCCATGTGACCACCCCCTAAATCCGGCCCTGGATTAGGGGCTGGGGAGGAACACTTTGACGATGAACTCCTAAGCCACGTACATCGTTTGCGGTATTCAAAAATCTCCGCTCCCATTTTACTTTTTGGCGGAGAGCAGAGCAATTTCATTCCTTGGATTTTCCACACAGTTTTCTTCACGCAGACGAAAAATCCCGGGGTTTTAAAAAATTGACGTTGAATGGTTTTCATGATAAAATAATGTACCTATGACAGGAAGTCTGCACCGTTACAAACTGAGATACGTGGCCTCGTAGTTTCACCGTCTATTTGGGTTCATTACTACGCAGATCGATGTTAATGTCAACCTGCGATAACTATGAGAGATGAACAAATTTTCACTTTGAGTGCGTCGTTTTTCCAACTTTTCAATCCATGAAATCGAAAAAAAAAAAAAAAAAAAAAAAAAAAACATTTACCATCCAATTTTTGTTGTTACAGAGAGGTTACTTGTTGGCAGCCCATGTTTTGCCGTTACGCATTTATTATCTCTATTACGCATTAAAAGAGATACATCTAGTCGCAATCAGTTTGAACCAGGTTTCAGGTTTGAAGTTTCATTTATTCATAAAACTTAGGTAATGTTAAATGTGAAGTTTAACGTGCTTTCAGGCTTAAAAATGTTTTCTCGACTTTGAATTTTAGACAGGACACGATGTAAGACTATTTGTATTAAACTACCTCAAACTCTTCTCTTTTCAAAATGCGGCATAGTAACTGGTAAGTTCCTGCTGAACTTGGTCGAATTCGTTGCTCCTATGACGTAAGGGTGTATCTCAAATTCCGCATGAGTCCCGGCACAGTGGTTTTGAAGCAAAAAAAAAAAAAAAAAAAAAATGGTTTGCTCANAAAAAAATGCGACAAAAATGTACCCAAAAATGGTTTGCTCGGGGTGACTCCATGGTACGTGCACACTTAAAATCGCGAAAAAATCAAAATCTTGGCTAGTGCTATTTTCGAA